CTGGTCCGGGTGCATAGGGTAGGAACCAATCGATGTTTCTCTCTCTCTCCCTTCCTCTCTCTCTAAAATCAACCCAAAGCATATCCTTGGGTGAGGATTAAAAATATATAAATGTTAAGGTATAGTATGTCTAATGTAATCCCATGTTTGTTTAACAAAATGTATATATTTTTATTAACATATATACATATGTATAATATGTTACATATATATATATATATATATACACAGACATATACATATATATATGTAAAAGAAGGGCATACAATACTCTGTTCATTGTGATTACAACTGGTGGGGGTTGTGGGGAGAGGGATGCACTAAGTTGACTTTAGACATTTGTACATCGTTTGCATTGTTACAATATGAGTGTATTAACTTTTCAACCCAAATTTATATATTTTTCATGAAAAAATATTTTTTAATGAGAAAACATTGAATTACATCTAGATTCAAGCCATAGTTTCACACTCTACTAGCTATATATTCCTGGGCATTTTCATCCCTGTGCCTCAGCTTCATCATCCACAAAACAGAAATAATAAAACACAAGGCAGTTTAAAAATTAAATGAGGCAACATACAGCCCTGGCCAGGTCGGCTCAGTGGGTAGAGCGTCGGCATGCAGACCGGGGTCCCTCAGCCCAACCTATGCCCTCTTACAGATCAGGAGCCCTTGGGGGAGGGCTCCCCATGGGGAGTGGGCCCAAGCCGCAGTCTGGCCTCCCCCTGCAGGAGGCAACTGGCAAGGTGGGCTGATTGGGGGATCTCTCTCTAAAAATCAATGGAAAGATATCCTCAGATGAGGATAAAAATAAAAAATGAGTCAACATACATGAATACTTAATCTAGGTCATAAAAAGTAGTAAATTCTCAATGTGTTAGCTTTACTTCCTATTATTATTAATGCTATATAGTATGAATTGCAAGGCTGCTAGAGAAGAAATGTCAAAGATATCTGAACTCTCTCAAACCCTGACACATTTTGTCTCTCAGAATGAGCACTGGAGGGAATGCTTCTCCCCATTCCTGATGTTTCCGTCCACGTAGCGAGGATACATCAGTGTGACACTGTTAGCTTCTATTCCTTCACTCAGCTCTACCCACGGGGAAATACAATGCTTCATCTAGTTGCTAAGAGGATGTGCTGGGAGCTCAGTTCAGCTCCTCCCCTTTTCCCTGACAAAGGCCACCCACAGAGTTGTCTTCTTTTACCCTCCCCCCATCCTAAGTCCCTGGATAGGGACTCTGCTTGGAGAGTGCTGCTTTTTTTTTGGGGGGGGGGGGGCAGCTACTATGATTCCCTAAATATGGGAGTTCAGTATAAGGAAACCTATTTGCCCATAGATGTAGCTATGTCTTCCACCCTAGCTCTCATTGTGTAGGTATTAGTATATGCCCTAGCTCTCATTATGTACATATATACCCTAGCTCTTTATGTA